TTGTCTCTATAAGTATATACTCACAACTTACCTTGTGAGTAGTTTAACTAGGTTGCCAATACCCTACTCGACCCAACTTCCATCCCCGTCGCGGATGGGCTCTGTTTCTCACTACTTTCCCGGCCTTCCCCCTTTTCGTTCGAATCCCTAGCTCGAAGCTCCTCTTCTCCTATAGCCATGGAGACCAAACCCTCCTCCTCTATCGGCGAGCTCAGAGACAATCTCTTGGCAGAAGTTCTTATCCGTCCGGGCCCTAGATACGCCTTCCGAAGCAAATCCGTCTGCAAGCGATGGAACTCCCTCATCTCCGCTCCCTGCTTCTCTCCCCGATTCGTTTCACACGACAGCAAGATCGGTCCCGGTAGCGAACCCGATCCGCCGCTTCTAACTCCCAAGCTCCGTGAATGGATTCTCACCTTCCTCCCCCTGCCCATCGCCGACCGATCCCGTCTCTCCGGTCTCGATTGCTTCGACGACTTGCTTTTGCTCGCCGATGGATGTGCTTAATAAACACAATGAGCAGATGGTCATAAGTATTTGATATGTTATCCTCTGAATGATGCTTATAAGGCCCTGTTGTTAAGATAATTATAAGACACCTACAACACGTAATGCATCGTGTCATTGCATCACATCACCGGTGCCAAAACCAAACTGTGTATCCTGATTAATCTAATGACAAATATTTCAATTTATCTAACCTATTTCGATCTCTATTAAGCACCACTGCAATGACAACCAATCTGACGACAATCAAATCAATAAGGAAGCCTTCTGCATTCTTCTATTCTCTACAGAGGATTAACCAGAGCATGTGGAGGATGATAAATTGGTCATTCTTACTAACACAATGAGCTGTTATAAAGCTATCATGCCGCTCCAGTATGCAAACATGCAATTGCTTGCACCGTCAATCACTTAACTAACATCATTCTCCAAACTGGTGTTGACGCACGACATCCTTCTAGGCACCACAGCTTTCCTGATCGTCGCCGCCTCCTTTTCCAGTTCCAGCTGCATAATCATCTCCTCCAGTGTCCGTTTTGTTGACGATCGGGCCGCCGCCGGTGGCGGTAGGCGCTAGGGCTGGGAATTCGGTCCGGATTTTCTGGTCAAACCTGAAACTGGGCAGTTTAAACCGTCCCAGTTGTAACCGGAAATCGGATTCTCATTAATCCAATCCAGTTTGCGGTCTGAGGTTGAGGGTGAATAACCGCCCCGGTCCCGGTCCAGTTTTACCCGGTTTTACCCGGAAACCGGATAACAGACCCAAGACTAAGCCCGACCCTGTGAAGCCCAGCCCAAGCCACACCTCCTTACTGTGAAGCCCGAGACCCATACCCAGACCAAACCCAGACCCAAACACAAAAGGCCCAAACCCCAGTCCCAAACCCAAGCCCGACCCTGTGAAGCCTAGCCCAAGCCCCAACTCTTTAGTTTTGAAGCCCGAAACCCGTAACCCCACCCACAACCCTAAGTCCTACAACCGCCTCTCTCCTCTTCCTCTTCCTCTTCCTCTCTCGATTAATCTCAATCTCTCACCCCTCTCACCCACGGCGACGACGACCTCGGCTGTCTAATCGTCGGCTCTCACTCCAGAAGAAGAAGAAGAAGAAGAAGAAGAAGAAGAAGAAGAAGAGAGGAGAAGGACTCTGAAGACACAACCGTCGACGATTATTGATTCCCATCTCGAGCTTTTCTCCATCGGGTTCTGCATGCGCCAAACTACATCGTCAATCTATCTCCTCCAATGTCCCTCCCACTCCGCCGCTTTCTTTTCTTGCTTCACCGCTTCCTCTTCTTCGTTCTCTCTCGAGACTGTTTTGGCGAAGGCGGCAAGTTCGTGAGTAGCTCTATTGGCGGAGGTGAGGTCGACGATGAAGGGGCAGGGGCAGCTCTGTTCAGCAAAAATCAGGGACGGGAAGGGGCAGCTCTGTTGGCGGAGGCGAGATCGACAAGATGACGGAGAAGACATGAAAAAAAGGGTTGAGATTTTGGGAGGAAGAAAGAGAAGGAAAGTAAATGAGGGCTGAGAGGGATCTGGTGGGTTTCTCTGTGGGATTGGAAATGAAAGTGAGAATTTGGAAAAGGTGGCTTTTCGGGAGAGAAGGAGGTGAAGAGCCGCTGTCGTTTTGGGAGAAAGGAGAAGTTCCAGTTTTTTGGTTGAAATCGGACCGGACCGGATTCAATCCAGTCCAGTCACGGTTGAAACAGGCTCCCTATCCAATCCAATTTCCGGTTGCTGTCTTGGTCGAAACGGTTTTAAAAAACCGGGTGAATCCGGTCCAGTTTTAACCGGACCAAACCGTTCCCCACCCCTAGTGGGCGCTGCTGCCAAGTTGGAATCGTTGAACACAAAAAATTGAGAAAGTTCAAAGAAAGGTTAAGGAAACGCAGGCGGTGGCGGAGGAGTGGGAGGAGGGACTGAAGCCGACGGGGACGGGGATGGGGTAGGAGTCGGAGTCGGGTGGTGGTGGTGGGGAGTGTTACTACGGCGGTCGGATTCCGCGACGGCGGTAGTCGATAGAGGTTGGGTTGGGTAGGGTATGGGGGTTTTTAGAAAAGAAATTAGGTTTTTTATTTTTTTATTTTTTAATGAATGTAATAATGAGGTGCAAAATATAAAAGTTTATTTTTTTTATTTTTAATAATTTTTTAGTTGTCACGTCACTAAGTTAACGGTCAATTTTGAGAGTTGACTGCCACATCAGCCAAAGTTAACGGAGTTGGACGGAGAGTGACCAAACGTGAACGGTTTCAATAAACTGAAGTACCACCAATGGTTTTAAATATTTCGAGTGACCAAACTTGAACGTTTTTTGTAATCTCAGTGACCAACCATGCAATTAACCCATAAAATTCTGAATCGCTATTCGTCGCCCTAAAATTTAAATTTATTCACCCTAAATGGTACTAAATTGACGTTTATATCCCGTGCCCATTTTCAATCCGCAATCTCTAACATCTTGTGCCGTCCCGCCGACCAAAATTCCGGCAGTCGCTGCCATTCCCCCAACCCGTTCCCTCAGCCTGCCGATCCGCACCTGTTTCTCCAGCACGCATAACCTGTTGCTTTTTTTTTTCTTCCGATGATTGCAGCGGACGGATTGAAACCCGTTGCCGGCGAGCTCAGACGGGATGCCGACCTGTCCTGTGCTCACCGTCGACGGTTTTAAACCTGTTCGTTGTGTGAAGTGGACCGGGTAAAACTGTAAAAGGCATGTATGCTATACAAATGGATCCGACAACCGACTTCTAAGAACCATTTTCCGATTACTTCTATTTTTCCTTCATTTTTTTGTAGTTCTAACCTCTAGTTCACTGACTTGTTCTTTTGGATAATATATTTTTCAATTGTGTATATTTCTCTATGTTTGTTTTAGTATTTATGTGGCTTTGAAAAATAAAAACTTTATCAAGGTCATTTAAGTCATTTTAATAAATATTAGAGCGACTAATAAGATATTTGAGGGCGATGAATAGCAATGCCTTTAAAAATTTGGTTTACAACAATTGTGATATTGGTCACGAACATAATTATGTATCAAAAGCGTTAAATAAAATATTGTGAGCTTATATGATGCACAGAATAGGGGTGGGATACGGTGACAACCCATTTTAGGGTTGTTATTTTCACAACCCACTTTATCCACCATTAGATTCATTCTCTATCCTACTTTTTTAAATTGATGGATGAGATTGGTACAAGGGTATTTTTGGACGAAAAAATATGACCACATGGGATTACAATCCATATTAAATTCAATATTCTTCTCTCTCTAAAACCCCTAATTACGATTTTCATATCATTCTTCCTCTCTCTGCGGCCGCCACCAACACCTGTTCTTCCTTCCATCTCGTCAACTCCTCCCACCGTCGTCGCCTTTCTCCCCACGCCGCCGCCTTCCTCCTACTGCCCTCCTCCCACCGACACCTATTCTCGTCGTCGCATCCACAGCAGTCCCGCAACACCTCTGCCCCTGTCGGCTGCCCCCTGGCTCTTCACACCGTTGCCTCCGCCCTTGCCGCTGCCGTCTCGCGGCGCTCTCTGCCCCTGCCGCAAGGCACCCCCCTCTGCCCCTGCCACGAGGTCTCTACCGCGAGGTCATCGATTCCCCCTGCCACTAGCCTCCTCTCCTTACCTCTTCCGGTGTGAGTCCCTCTGCCTCTTTGTGCCTCCTCTTCGTTTTTCAGATCTGTGATTTTTGGATTTTCAGATCTAATTTTTTTCTAGTGGTACTGATTTTCTAGTGGTAGTGGTACTCGTTTTTTACTGGTAGTGGTACTATATGGAGTGGTAGCTGGTAGTGGTACGCTATCACTATCATTTAGTACCACTACCATCTGGTACCTGGTAGTGGTATCCAAATGATAGTGGTACGCTACCACTACCAAGTATCAGAAAGCAGTGGTACACTACCACTACCCGGTACCAGATGGTAGTGGTACCAGTGGTAGTGGTGAGTACCACTAACGTACTGACAGAGTTTTAATTTTTTACAGGTGACCGGAGCGAGTCGCATTCAAGGATCTTGCCGGAGAAAGTCTGCTGGTCGGAGTGGAGTTGCTGCTTGAAAAGGAAGAGAGAGATAGGAAGAGAGAGTTGTATTCATTGTAGGATTCAAAATTTAAAAAAACATGTATTTAATATGAGTTTTTAATTCCCAATCTATAATTAATAAAAAAAATTAATTAATAAATTCGGTTTTTTTTCATACCCAAAATACCCTTGGTTGTCAATCTCACCCCTTAGGGGTTGTGACCGTATCCCAAGCCACCTAAATAAACAAGAAAAGTAATGTATTCTGAAAAATGAAAACCGCAGGGCGCTTGCCGGAGCAACGCTTAACTCTTAACTCTTAAGGGACTGAAACGTTACAAAATAATATTTCAAGGATGGGAACTTTGTAGAGGTAGAAGTATAAGGGCGAAATCCAACATTTTGCGACTTCCAGTATTTTCCCCAGCGCGCACTCCCTCCTTCCCGCGGGAGATTTTGGCGCGAGTATTCCTCAATACGCTCCCTCCTTCGTTCTCGCTTTCTCGTCGCGTTTACTCTCCAGTTCCCCCGCTTCCATGACGAGCTTCGGGTTCCGGCAACCCCAATTCTCTGAGGTAAATTCCACTTACCAATCTCCGCAGCAATTACTGCTACTTATCCCCTTTCTCGCTGTTCGCCTGGTTTCAGGAACTGGCATATCTGCCCATTTGGCTTCAGAAACCCCAACCGGAACCATCGCCGCCGCCGGGGAACTCCATTGCGGAAGCCGAAGTCCCTTTTTCTTCGAATCGAGAACTCAGAAGTTTGTGGCCTCCGAGAGGAAGCAGTACTTGCTTTGGGAAGGATGTCAATCGCTCCTCGAAAGATGAAGGAAGGTACAAGGATTGTTGTCTATTCTTATCTGGGGAAGCTAATTCAGAAAGCACTGTGGCTCCGTCTCCAGGAAATGTGAGGACCTTAATCTCTTGCTTAATTTTTTTATTTTTTTGGCTGGCCTAATTTGCACTGGCGGTCTGACTTTCTGCATGATGTGAATTTTGTGGTGTGGTGCAGCTGTTACACCTTCGTTTACATATCTCTCTGGATGGTGATTCACCTAATACCCAGTGCCAGCTTTCATATCCATCAGACCTCCCTCGTGGTTCCAGTATGTTCGAGTCGCAGCATCAAGATCAAACTCTGTGTAGCTGGGATGAGAAAGCCTGCCAATTGAAAGTGGACTACAATGGTGGCGGAGTAACTCTCCTGCCTCCAGCTTCCACCCCAGGAGTTGTGAAGAGCGGTAGTTTACAGGTACCGAGCATTAACCAGGGTAGCAAAATGCAAAATGAAGGAAAATTGAATGTTTTTCCAGCAAATATGGGCACTGAAGCCGGTTCATTGCCACCTAAACACAGTTCGGACTGTGAAGATGGTGACATAAATGGTGCTATTGAACTCTCTATTGCTGCATCAGAAGCATTAGTTATACATGAGTTGATGAAGACTGAGTTGAGCTCAGAAGGCTTCTCAACAGGATCAATTCTCGAAGCTGCACTCAGAGTCAAACAAGCTCGTTTGCTGGAGGAAGGCATGGAAGACGAGGGCTACAGTAATTATGAAGTTGATGAGGTTGATTCTCTTGCAGACCTAGATGATTCTGTTATGAGGGATGCATTTATGGATGTGGGATTATCTTTGGATTGCGCCCACGTTTCTGGTTCAGATATATCTCATGTCAAAGAGACTCCTATGGAGGAAAATTTTGATGGCAGTACCAATGGATCTAAGGTTCCCAAGGACCAGCAGGATCAGAATATCAATGGAAAAGCTCCAGATTCTGACTACTCTGGTATGGCGTGCAGTGGTAATCGTAGTTCCTATCAGCAAGAGGATATTCCCCACGACATGGCTGAACCACAGGTAAATAAATGTCTTGTCCTTAGTCCCGTTCAACCTGAACCCGCCAAATAAAAAGCATATGACAGATAGGAGTTACTCTCATATCAGTTCCTCATTTAGTTTCCCAACAGTTTTTGTCTTCGATTACTTTACTTTTCTCAAAGAAATTATCTTGTTCTCATTTTCTAATTAGCAACTATAGGAATACTCCTTTGTCATAACTAACTGTCTCTTCTTGGTTATTTTGTTCTTTCATTCAATCCCCTGGAAGGAAGGAAACGCTAATGGAGGTAAACAGCGCACAAGGAAAGGTGTCGCCAAGTATTTTATTGATGAGGCAAGCTTCCTTTCTGAATCTGCGGACATGGCTGTCAATCAGATTTCCGGTATGCTCAAAAAGGGAAATGGGCCAAATATAGCCTCACAGTCGAGCATAAACTTCAATGGCTTGCAAGATAAAGCCCATGATGCTGTTTTACCTTCCGAGGAGGTTAGATGTTCTTACGTATCAGCTTCAGATCCTCTATGTTCCATTGTTCCTTGCAGTATTCCTATGGAGGAGCATGTTGTTTCCCCTGCAAATCAAATCCAAAATGGTGATGGAGTTGAACCTCAAAACTGCTTCGGCCACAAATTCTTACCTGGGTTAGGTAACGAGTGCACTATTGATAAAGTTGAAGAACAAAATCCGGATTCCCCCCTCAATGGGAATGACAATGTAGATATTGAAAATCAAGAGGACACGTGTGTTTCTGTGCAAAGGAGATCACCTATAGTTCTGAATCGAAGGACCCGGCATCGATTGCAGGCTCGTGAAAGTTTTATTGGGAGTAATGTACCTGCAGTCAGATGTCTAGAGCAGGATCTTCCTGAAAGTACTACAATCAAGTTTGACATTAGCAATCAAACTAATATGCCATCTGGAGAAGTTGTTTCCTGTCCTGAAAACAATCTAGTTCGAACAAAGCGAGTTCACTTCTCATTTGAAGTCCAGCATGAGCAAACCAAGGAACTCATTCAAAGGTCAAAAGCATCATCTGTCGGAGGTAAGATTGCAGAAACTATCATCTTACAGACTTTTTTTTTAATCTTTTATCAATGTTTTTTCGTTTTTCTTTTGGGGGTCCAGATTTGGGTATTAGAGATAACAAAAGATCAAAACTTTCCAAACCGAGTTGCATGAAGAAATGTCTTCTGGGCCACAAGCAAGACTTGAAGCGTCTGATATTTCACAGATGGGAGTTTTTGATTACCGGGTTTTCTTACACAAAGGAAAGAGAACTTGGAGGAATGATACAAAAATCTGGCGGTATAGTCCTCTCTGAGATCCCCTCTCATCGAAGTTCAAGATTCAGAGGGATTAAAAGATCTGACACCCAGCAGCTTACCTTAGTTATCAGTTCAAAAAAGGTAAGTTTGTATTAAACCATCGTGGATTGGCTTTGTTCTGCTTTTTCTTTTTTTTTCATTCTACTGTTATGCTGCTTCTCTGTTGAATAAAATCTCCCACTGAGTAACTGACTTCTGATTCTTGTGTAATTATTCCGGTGCAGCTGCAAACTGCCAAGTTCTTGTACGGTTGTGCTGTGAACGCTCCCATCTTAAAAGCCAGATGGATCACTGACTCAATTGCAGCTGGTTCTATTGCACCGCCAGAAAAGTAAGCCCCTGTATGTTTTTAAGGATACCAAACTTGATCTTGCTTTTAGTGGGTTGCTGCTTCCAGCATTAATCTGTTCACTAGCATTTTGCTCTTTGAAATCCATGATCACCAATGCTGGCCATCTTACAAAAGGAGGACAGCTTCCTAAAAGGAATTGGCATGTTTAGAGTAAATCCTTTATGGATTATGTGAAAAATGGTGCTTCCTTTGCTGATTCTCTTCGTCTGTTTTTGACAATTCACTCAATTTTATGTTTACAGGTATGTCATCCGTCCAAATCAAGCAGATATAATGCCAGTCCGCCTGCTTTCAATGAATCAAAATACCGGACCGCGTATTTTTGACAGAGTCGGAATCATGCTTCATGGAAAGCCCAGCTTCTGCCGGAAATTATCCTTGATAGTCAAGGTTAGCTAGTCGTTAATAATCAGAAGTTTAGTGACTATGATGTATCTCTCCTGCTTATTCTTCCATGTAGGCAAGCATGGTTTTAAGTTGTTGTTGTTGCCCTTTTGGCATGCGTAGCATGGAGGTGGAGAGGTATTCAAATCCCTCCAAACATTACTGTTGATCCTCGATACTGGAAAGCTAAGGCGGGGAGTTATTGTTGCTGAAAATCAGAGCAGGGCATTGCGGCACTTGCAGCATTGTGCCTCGGAGCAGAAAATAGCCTTGATGGTTGGTAGTATTACCCTTCCTGGCTCTAGTGTTTACAGTTGTGTCATGTGTGGAACTTATGTTTAACCTCTTCGTCATTTGTTGGCCATTTTGGCAGCCGGCTAGCTGGATAGCCAAGAGCTTGCACTTAGGAAAGCTCTTGCCTGTTCAAGAGAAAGAGGATGATGCCCCACAGGAAATCGGATTGCAAACTTCAGAGAATTCCTTGGACTGGAGTCAGGAATTCTGAGATTGCTCCTTTAAGACACAGACACAACCTCAATGTGCAGTTGTCTATCAGGCTCTGATTTTGGCGTGCGTGATGGGAATGGCTGTTGATATGCAAGCGGGGTCACAGATGAGCCTGATGCAGCAGATGGAGATAAAAAAAAATTGAAGCTCCATATGCATGCAAAGTCGAATCAGCAGAGAAAAGAAAAGCTTTTCTTGTTTAATTATTTCAGGTGTATGCTGCAAACTGTTTCCAGCATAATGTACATAGCCGATTTGAATAATTACTTCAATATTCTTTGTAGAGGGGAGGATTTCTATAACCTGAAATCTTCTTCAACATGAGATCACCAAACATCAAAAAGCAAATAGGTTATTGATTAACTAACAAACACAGTGAGAGGAAATAAAGTTTTCTTTCTATAAAAATGGGGATGGGATTTGGTGCTAACCCTTATAGGGGTTAGCACCGTGATAACTAGCAAAAAACGCTACTAAAAACAACGAAATCACTACGGATTATTATAAAATCAATACAACATCTAAGCTAAATCACTACTAATTCAAACTAGTAGTAGTTTTTCCCTTGGTTAGGACGGTGCTAACTATTGTACAATTAGCACCGTAACTCCTCCCATAAAAATGGCATACTCTAGCATGTGATCAATGCCCCAATCGAAGATGTTATTTCATCAGTTTATTGACTGAAATGAGATTTGAAAGAAAAAAGGAAAGAAAGAGCCCATGTTTTTGTTTTTTAGGTGAATACACATTGGTAAAAATTGTTTTTATATAACATAAAAGCATAAGCTCTAATTTGGAGTTTCTACCAAAAAATGTTTGTGTATGTAAACAGACATTAAAAAACTTTGTATTTGAAAAAGGATGAATCAAGTTTCAAAGACTAGATAAAATAAAATAAAAAGTGAGCACCTTGCTAGATCAATGTGGATATGTGTAAAGAAAAAATGACTTCTCTCTCTAACTTTCCTCTCTCTTCCTTTACTCTCTACTCTCTCCTTGAGACCAGCCACATCCGAAATGGATCTGAATGCAATCTTCTAATAAGACACATCCGTAATGGATCATTCTACTCCCCTCTTGAGTCCCAAATCACACCTGCAATTACTGCTAGATCTTCGTACCCAATCCTTCTGCCTGGCATTGACACCGAAAATCGTCATAATGGCTACTGGAAGAACCATAGAGCCCCAAAATGGAGTAAATGCACAATCCCCTGCTCAGAACTTTCTGGCAAAGATGGGATGGATATCTACTTCATATTTATTGATTACACAAAGCTCATTACTAACTAGAAGGAAAGGTGGGTATTCAGTATTAGTCCACATCTTATAATGAGATGGAACAACTCGCTTATACACAGAGAAGGAATATACATTGATGTCCAGATCTTCTACTCAATCCCTCCTACCTATGCGATCTCTCTGCTGGAACAATTTACTTCCAAGCCAACTACTTTATTTTGGAAGAGTTACCTCGCTCATCATAGATGCAGCCCAGCTTATATAATCCTTAAACTGCGGTGGAAAGCTCATTATCCCAGTCCAAACAAAAACATACCTTCTGGAAAATTACTCAGCTCTGCCTCTTTCTGGGAAAACATGGCTGACAAAGAAATCACCGAAATTCTTCAAAAAACAGAATCCCTTGGAATCTCTGACTCTATCCTCCGTTTCAAACCCAAAAAGAGTGGTATCGAGAAAAAACTTTGTGAGATTCTGGTGGGAAAATTGATCTCTGAAAAGAAATACTCAGCTAGAGCTCTGGAACTCACCTTGAGTAGAAACTGGAGAGAGATCAAGCAACCCTCCGTGGTGGAGCTGGGCACCAACACTTTCAGCATCTCTTTCAAATCAGGGGAAGAGAAACAGAAGATCTGGGAATCGCGCCCTTGGAAGATCGTTGATGCTCTCCTAGTTCTCATCGACTGGAAAGGAAAAGGCAAAATCAAGATTGAAGAACTCAACTTCAACAAGACCATCATCTGGGTTCAAATCCATAACTTCCCAGGTGAACTCAGATTTGAAGAAAACGTAGCCACCCCTCTTAACGAAATATTCAAAGAAATCATTAGAGGAGGTGAGATGAGAGTTGCAGAAGGAAAATATGTAAGCTTCATCAGGGTCCTGGTCGGCATAGATCTATCTGAGCCCCTTGCTCCGGGCTTCTTCCTCCAAGATGATGACCCCTGACATTTGGGTCGAGTTTAAATACGAGCGACTTCCGGCGAACTTCTACTACTCCTGCAACAGAATCGGCCACTCTCAACTGATGTGCAACCACCCAGAGGAAAGAGTTGAAGGGAGGTATAGAGAATGGACACGCGCTAGCCACCACTCTCCGCCATATCCCCTATCTTGTACCCCTGTGATGACGCCGGGCACGACAGAAAGTAAAACCAGCGACAACTTTTCCTCTTCCGGCGACCGGTTGGAAAACTCCTGGACGGCAGACTATCCGGTGGACAGGGTCCCCGAGGCAAAGGAAGGAGAGAGGAAGCAGATGTCAGAACCAAGACCCCTCTTCACATGGGTGCAACGGCTAGATTGCCTGATTCGAGGAAGGAGACTGATGGACCCCCGCCGGGTTTCGGGCTGCCTAGACCCACTGGTGCTGCAGACCAACTTTTACGGATGAAAGAGGCAGACGATTGCTCTAATTCCTTTCTGATGTGGGATAACAATCAAAATGAAGCCCAATTCCTAAGCCCTTGGGGCCTAAAGAGTGATCAGCCCAGGAAAAAGATCAAAGTTACAAGGAAGAGGAAAAATGGCGGCAGTCCACTGGAAGTTGGGGGGCAATATGGAAGTCAAGCTGCTGCGAGGGAATTCACTTAAGAAGAAGATGGAATTGGATATTATGAGGAAATGGTGGCTGAACCAACGCCATCAGGGCATCCATGACTACAATCTGCTGGAACTTTCGAGGATTCGGGTACGACTCGGCAGTCGACTATCTTAGGGACTTGCATTGGTCATTCAAGCCAATGATCATTTTCCTTATGGAGACTAAGCAGCCTGAAAATGAAATGGAGAAAGAAAGAAGAAGGGCTAGATATGCTAACAAATGGTATTGAAATCCTCAGGGTATTAGAGGAGGGTTAGCCCTTTGGTGGGTTAAGGGTCTAGAAATTGATGTTTTAGATTCCTCGGATTTTTTGTTCATGCTTTTGTCAAGTTTAAGGGTGGGTTCTTTGTAATTTTCCTCCATGCCCCTAATGACTCTATTGAGAGAAGGGCTTTCTGGGAGGAAATTAGTAGTCTTAAACCACCTAATGATGATCCTTGGATTCTGTTGGGTGATTATAATGCGGTATTAAACAAAGCTGAGAAGGAAGGCGGCAATCCTCCAAGACGCAACTCTACCGAACCATTCAAAGAGTTCGTCTTCAACAATGATCTTATTGACATCGATTTCAAAGGACAGAGATTTACATGGTCCAACATGCAACAAGGGCTTAGGAGAATCCTGGTTAGACTTGATCGTGGTCTTTGCTCTCTCTCTTGGAGGGAGACTTTCAACAAAGCGATCATTTTTAATGAACCTATGGTGGGATCGGATCACTGCCCTTTGAGACTCGAAATTTTGGGACTTCAAAACTCTAAGAGAGATACCTTCAGATTCGATCATAGGTGGTTCAACTATGGAGAGTGCGAAGACATCATTAGAAGATTTTGGGAGAGAGGAGGAAATCACCAATCCATGTTAACCAGTTGTACCCGTGAGCTTGTTATTTGGAGCAAGGCAATAATGCGACATTGAGAATCAGGGCTATTGAGGAAAGACTGAAAGTCATTCTGGACTGGACTCGCCTTCAACAATATGCTGAGGAAGAAAATTTGTTGAAGCTCGAGCTCACCAAACTTTGGATTGAGGAGGAGATTTTCTGGAGACAACGATCCAGAATTCATGGCTGCGAGAGGGAGACAGCAATACACGTTTTTTTCCACAACTCAACTATTCAAAGAAGCCTCAGAAATAGTTTTGCTAAACTGTTGGATAAAGGCAATAACTGGATTGTAGACAAAGACCTCCTTCAGAATAATGTTGTACTCTTCTACAAGGATTTATTCAAGAAGAGTGACGAGAGGTTCAACATCAACTTAATCCATGAGATCCCTTGCCTGGTGGATGATCAATTCAATAGTCACTTTGTAAGCCGGCTGAAGACTTGGAGGTCAAGGAGGCTGTCTTTGAGTTGGGATCTTGCAAGGCACCAGGGCCTGATGGATTTCCGAGATTGTTCTACAAGCGCTATTGGGCCACGGTTGGACAACAGTTGTGTGAAGAAGTCAAAAACTTCTTCTTGGAGGGGAAGATGGCTCAAGTTTGGAATGATACTCATCTAATCCTTACCCCAAAGGTTCTTAACCCAGAAAGAATCTCCCAGTTCAGACCGATTAGTTGCTGCAACTTCATATATAAGGTGGTATCTAAGATCATGACATCCCGTCTTAAGGAATGGATACCAAAACTTGTGTTTGAAATGCAATCAGCTTTCATGGGCGGCAGAGCTATCCAGGACAACATCATTATTGTCCATGAGGTGTTGCACCATTTCAAAACTCGCCCGAAAGGTGGGAAGTGGGATATGATGATGAAGCTAGACATGAAGAAAGCTTTCGATATGGTTGACTGGGACTGTCTTGCTGAAATATTGAAAGCTATGGGCTTCTCTCATATTTAGTGCTCTTGGGTCAAGGAGTGCATCACCTCTGTGAGCTTCTCGGTTATGTTCAATGGCAACCCTTCCCCTTTCTTTATGCCCTCCAGAGGCATTCGTCAGGGAGATCCCCTCTCCTTTTCATTCTTTTAACTAATGTCTTATCCTTCCTCATTAACAAGAATGTTGATAGCGGCAATATACCCTGTCTCCTTCTTTCCCTAGGCTCACCCATGTGTTGTTCGCAGATGATACCATTTTATTCGGGAAAGCCTCAATGTCGGAAGTTATCATCATCAAAAAAGTCATTGAGGACTACGGTAGTATGACGGGGCAGGTGATCAACAATGACAAATCCGCTATTACTTTCGGTTCCAATGTCCCTGAGGCCCTTAAGACGCTTATTTTCGAGTTCATGGGCATCCCTCACGCTGATGGAATGGGAAAGTACCTTGGTGTCCCGACTGAATGGGGGAGGTCTAAAAAAGAGATCTTTGTCGTGGCTTGAATGCTCGTATGGAAGGTCTGGGTCAATCCTGGAAGAGCCTTGCCCTTTCTCAGGCAGGCAAAGAGACTCTCCTCAAGGCAGTGTATCAGAGCTATCCTACCTACCTAATGTCATGCTTTCTCA